ACTCGGACTTGACAGTGCACCCAATAGACTAGAGTTCCACATATTAAAAACAAATAATTGCTGCGTCACTATTAACACAATTTATTGGTTGGCAGTGGTGACATTTTGGGTTATGAGGTTTATTGAGCACATTTGTCCTTTTGGTGACCCACTCTTTTCCCACTTTAACTCGTGGATGGCATGTCCTTGATCAAGTCTGCAGAGTTCAAGCCCATCAGATATGGCTACTTTGTCCGGCAGCTACAAAATCAGACTTTCTTTTAACGTGTTCATTTTGGCCAGATGGAAAACGTTATATCCGGTATGTAATAACAAATAACCTTCAGTTCCTTCAGCCTCTGCTTGCGCTTCTCGTTGCTTCTGCTTGAAACTTCATGTTCCATATGCATAAGGCTCAAGTCTACATTGTAAATACGTTCTCTCTTCCGGGGTGAAACCCAACACATCATAGGCTCCTGAGCAAAATAATGTGAAAAGCACATTCATCTATATGTTGTAAAAATAATGCATCAGTGTTAATTATTTGTTTTTGCACACATCATTGCCATCAGCTCCTCAGTGTCACTAGATTGGAGGCGACGTCCGGACTCTCCTTGGGAGATGAAGGCGTAGTCATAGGGATTGTTGGTGATCAGCTCATTTCTTAAATGATTTATATTAACACATTTATTAATTGCGATTTTGTGCAAAATTTTACTAATGTTTGTTTTCTTTTTCCACACCCAACAGCTCTGGTTTGAGCTTGAGAAAGGATCTGGTAGAAAATATGATTAGTACTCTCCCCTCAGCCTTGAGTTGAAAAGTCACCGTGACTTTTCCAAAGGTCTGTGAAATGTTTGAAGCAAGGCATTACTTGAAATGTGATGAATAACAATCATTAGACTTTATCTTACTAGTCTCAATGTCAGCGAGAAAGCGAGTTCCCGCGATTATCTAAGTGAAATTCTGATAAATTTTCCCTATAAAAAGGGGTTTTTTATTGTTATATTGTTGTTTTTTTATTATTTAGGAAGTATACCGTGTGGTTTCCTCATTAAAAGTCTCTCTCTAAATATTGAGGTTGGTACGGTTTCTTGATCGGCTTGGCATTCCCTAAGGCATCTAGTGCAGGTTAGCTTGTATGAGTTGATCTTCCAGGGTTCCCTTGTTAATTGGTTATGATTCAGGATTCTATTATCAGTAAGTTTTCAGTATTACATTTTTAAACCACTTAATTTGCTTCTCAGACCGCTGCATCCTTCTTTTCCACTTGGTAACTGGCAAGCAATGCTAGCAAAGTTCTGAATAACACTTTTGTGTTGACATCTTCCAGCACCAGAAAAAGTCTCCACTATATAAAATGGCATTTTTTTTAAAGATTTTTGTTTATTTTTTATTTTATCTTTTTTTAAAAGGGGAGACTTACGTGATTAGGATGGAAGGATTTTCTCTATCTGTGGAAAATGTGCTTCACAAATTGTGACACTTTCTGATTAAAATGTGAAACATAGAAATCACTGTACCTGCCAACATGTACTGATATGCATTTGTCAGAGATGGAGAAGATATGTGGAGGAGCTCACTCCTCTTATTTCTCTGTATGAAGAACGACTTCCTTTTGTCGTTAACTGGCAGCCACTTGTAGGGTTGACAGTCACACAGAACACCCAGAGTAGGTCTGTGAAATTTTAAAGACCACAGTGAATCAGGAGATTTTGCACAATCATCAGTACATCGTAAATTATCTCACATAGATCATCCAGCGGCATAACGTCGTTGAGGTTGAAACAGCACAGGCAGCTCATGGAGGAAAGGTTGAAAATCGCCATCTTCAATTTTAATCAAACTTTGGCGGGTTCTGGGGGTGTACGTCACACTCCTTCACAGTTACAGTCTGAAAATTAAAAAGATTAAAAGCGAATATGTAATAATTTATACTGCCGATTTAGGCCTCAAAAATAAACTCCCTGTTTCAGTTTGGTCCTGTGACTTTGTATCCATCTCTTAAAGTTAACTGAAGCCCTGATTTCACAAACTCTACCTCAGGATCCGGAACAAAACATTCGTCTTCATGTCAATTGGTCTAGTTTGAGCTCAAGGCGCTCCTTTCAGCGTTCTTAAAAAAGAAGCGATGGCCCAACCCACCTCAGGGCTGCGTCACCCATGGTTTAAACTAAAATATAGCATAAATTTTAATGGTGTTTACAGTATGAACCAAAATTTTGGAACACACACGTTCTCTTTCAATGAGGTTCCTTTCTTTTCTTAACTATTGACTGTCGTATTTCCACACACAGGGCCTGTGTAAGGGCTATTTGAACAATATGGAGAGGGGTTTGGGGGGTGCTGGCCAGATGACCCTGGCCTCCACAGTCACCGACCTTACCCAGTCCAGATGGTTTTGGGGTGAACTGGACCACAGATGAAGGCGAAGGGGCCAACAAGTGCTGATAGCATCCCTGGAACTCCTTCAGACTGTTGGAACTTAAGACCATTTCAGGTCACTACTACATAAGCTCCAAAAGAGAATGCCAATGATGGTGAAGCAGTAATTAGAGCAAAAGGTACTACTTTGAAGAACCCTAGAATATAAAGCATCATTTTCAGTTGTTTCATACTTTTTTTTAATATACATAAACAATTCCACATGAGTTCCAGTCATAGTTTTTGCTGCCTTATGTATGAATCTACAATTTTCATAATTATGAAAATAAAAAAATCTGAATGAGGAAAGTGTGTCCAACTTCTGGTCTGTACTGTAAAAATGATAGATCAAACAACACAGCTCCCTTGAATATGCGGTATAAAGAAGATATATTCAGTGTGTGGATTCTCGCTTATTTGCACTATATCCGAATGGTATCTTAAGGACATCATGCAGCTCTGTTTTAAAAGGTGAAGAATTGGAGGTAGGCGTTCGTAGAGTGTTATATGGTTGTGCATGTTATGACGATGTACAAAGACTATGCGTGGAGAACAACACAAGCAAGTTATCTTGTCTATTTGAGAAGGGACGGAGTCACGTGTAGAAGTGGGGGGGTTGTATAAAGGTGTGGGTTATTTCATGGGTTTATAGGTTTTGGGGAGTAGAGGGTTGGGATGACATTTTAGACGTTTCATGGGGTCTCATAGGGCGGTGAATGCTTGGGTCACAAGTTTGTCTAATGCAGTGGTGAGGTGAATATCACGGTGGGTTTACTAACAGACATGGTGGCTCTAAGATCTGACTCTGAATAGCAGAGTATAAGTATATAGGCGTATTTAATGGAGGTAGGAATGCATGTTTGGGAGGCGGGTTTTTCTGAGGAAGGTTAGATTCGTGCGCGTATTAGGGGGTGTGAATTTTGGGTATATATTTAGTATGTTTTGGGAAATAAGGGTGAGTAAGAGTATGGGGATAACCATTGGTGGGGGATAGAAGATATAAAAGGGGGGGCAAGATAGAGGCGGGTAGCAGAGATGGGGTCAAGTGGTTCTGCGATGATTTTTTTTCTTTATTTTGTTGACTTTTGTTTTGTTTTATCCTTTTTTTTGACACAAGGGGAGCATAGTGGGGTAAAAAAAAAAGGGAAAAAACAAAACAAAAAAGAAATTAAAATGTGTCTGGTTAAGCTGTATGTATTAAGAAAACAGTGTGAACTAATGAAGATGACACAATAAAGTATGAAAAAAAAAAAAAAATAGAACAATCGCAATTAGCATTAGGATGTGACTGTCCAATCAGATTCAATGATTCATGCTAAACTGAAGCCACAAGGGGGTCGCCAGACTCAGAACGGCTGGATGAACAGGGGAAAGGTAAAACTGAAATTGTTTAACTCAAAGGAAAATGAACATGATGGTGGTGTCACTTTGATCTCTTAGTATAGACTTCCAACAAACAAAACATGGCTGTGTTCAACAGCAGCCAGCTGGTTATAAAATATAACTTGAACCATATAAACAATACTGCAACAATCCAAATAAAAGGATATTACCAAGTGAGTTAGGCTGCAATAACAGAAGAAATGAAATAGAAGCAAATTGTGCTTTAGATCCATCAGCATAATTGTTTTGTTTTAGAGTTTTCTGGCTTCCCTCTGGGTTGTGGTTATTCGGTTTCTCACAAAGTCTCTTATATTCTGTTCTGTTCTTTGTGACAACACAGGGTCTTCTGCCATTTTGCATTGGCTGCATTCAGCTTTGGAGGCAAGTTTTCCTTTGGAAATGTGATTTCCAAAATGTCGTATCACTGCAGCAACCTCAGCTTTTGACCACATTCTTTTTGGGAGTCTTCTTGCTTTAGACTCTTGAACTGCATTTTTTCCTGAAAGAAATGTAAGAGGGAAAATAAAAATTAGAAGCTGTTAAAGGAAACGCAAGTCAAATCCAATTGATGCTACAGGTTATTTCCTACTAAAGGAAGAGCTCTTCACAGAAAGCAAAGGTTATTGGGGGTCAAGCAAGGGGAATGACCATAGTATATAATAAAAGTTAAGGCAATAAAAAAATAAAAAAAGTTGACATCCCTTAGGCACAAGGACCTAGAAGAACCCCAGCGACCTAGCCCCCGCCTTTTGGATACATATAGTGTATCCTCCTCTCCAGGACCTCTGGAAGCTGAGGAGTGTCCTCTGTATTTAGAACACACCCCTCTCTTTAAGAGGGGACCCCACCTTGGTCTGCCAATCTAGAGGAACTGCCTAGATGTTCAATGTTGCAGAGGCATGTCTGCTCATATTGAATGGAACCTCCAAAACTGGAAAATCAAAAATAGATTTTCTACTCCATTTTCTATTCATTTCACTTCATTTCCTCACATTCTTCTGGAGGTCTAAAGTCATTGCATATCTTAGCATTATCAAATACCCAAACACTGGTCTTACCTTCAGACTGAGGTGTAGTGCCTCCTGCTGTGGATGTCACTTCAGATAGTATTTCTAATGAAAACAAAATAGGACTCATCAGGAGTGTATTGTCTATAGAACCTGTCACTAGCTGCTGTTGCCCAAGATGCTGAGAGAGCACCCAGTACAAACATATTACTTACTGTCCTCAGAGTTCTGCGACAGCTCCACGATGGGACAGCCTGAGGATTGACCCAGACTTTCCATGTCCTCAAGTTGTGGTTCCTTAGCCTCTGTGCTACTGTCCTCAGAGTCACTGCCACTGTCCTTAGCTTCAGTGTCACTGAATGATATCTCATCTTGACAAAAAGGGAATCAGACAAAAGCAACAGGCACACTTTACTGAATGAATCAAAGATGGGACAGAACAACGCCTGATTCTCTGAATTAAGCATATTAAATTAAGGTTACATACATTGAAGTACTCACCTTCAATCTGAATTTCATCCAGGGACTTCCCTTGCAGGCCAGAAAGATTTCCTTTTTCCATGGATAATAGCAATTTGGAAATCTTTGCCAACTGCATGGTTGGGACTGGCAACCTATAGAAGTCCCGATGGACACGGATGTCGTGTCCAAGGAAATCTGCAACCTGGTCAAGTTCATTGTTTTTCAGATTCAGGATCTGAGAGAGTGTTGCAACGTGCTTCCTCAGCTGGGTGGACCTGAGGAGCTCTGGGTGCTTTGCTCCACACTGGCTTGCATAAACCCGCAGGCAGTCCTGTCCTCTGTAGTGGCTCAGCGCTTGAGGTCTTCCAAACAAGAAAATATTGTTGACATGGACGCCGCATTCCTTTCTTTTACTTGTCAGTAGTGACAGGGCATCCACCATACACGGTGTAAGAAGAACAACCACCTTCCTCCCCCTCTTCCCAACAATTTCCACTCTAGTGAAGTAGCTGCACAGCTGCTGCTCCAGCTTGGACAGGGCCATGGCAACATCTTGGTGAAGCCTTGTTCTGTCCCGTTCCTCAAAACTTTTGAGAAGCATTTTTGACACTTCCCCAGCACGTCTACGATTGAATAGAATGATTTGAGCTAAAATAACTTTACTAAGCTCAGCATAGGTCTTGGATGTAGCTTCCTCCGTCAAGCTGCCAACAGCAGCGTCTGCAGACTTCTGCAGGTACTGGTGTAGTGTCCGAACGTCCTCTGTGAAGGGCAGTGTTGATGGTTTATTATACTTCAGCGTACTCAGCGTATTAAGAGCACTATGGGACACCAGCTCACACCACTTGGAGGTGTACAGTTTACTGAATGTTTCAGCTGACTTAACCAGCCTGTCATCCTCTGCCATCAGAGCTCGACACTGAATGATGTTGCAGATCTTGTTTAGTGTGTGCCCCAGCTTCAGAGCCAGGCTTGGTGTACGATAGGACAGCTTTTCTTCATCAAAGCCAGCAACTTTCTGAACTGCCTGAACAACATTCTGAAAGTTACATGGCTTGATAGCTTCCTCCAGGCTGTGTATTGAGAAGTCGTGGCGCAGACAGACTAGCAGCCTTCCCACTTCACGGAGCTTCTGTCGCATGTACTCATGTTTTGTGGGGTCTTGTCCATGTCTGTTGTAAAGTGACTGGGCAAAGTGCACAATGGAGAGGTCATTTCTCAAAGTCAGGCCAATTTCATCCACCTTTATGGAGCTCAGAATCTTCCACATTCCACTTGAAAAGTGTTGGCTGAAAACGGCCTCCTGGGCTGTAGCCAAAGCCAGCACTCTTGTTCTCCCGGTCCGTTCCTCAGAATCCTTGTTGTCTGGCCTACAGGGACATCGTCGCACATGTCTCCATAGATCTTTACGGACATATAAACCAAGACAGTGCATACAGTGCACCAAAGTTCCAGCCACAGCAGCAGCTTTTGGCCTTCTCTTCATTTTCAATTGACCCGTTTCACCTTGAAGAATGGCAGTGTTATGTTTAAAATTCCCCTTATTTCGCATTTTTTCAAACAACACTTTGCGTTCCTTTGACTTCTCTGGGAGATAAAATGCATAGGATACTTCTGGGTGTGACATGTGAGTTTTTAGGTGTCGAGTCAGTCTACTTTGTGGCTTACCACAAATGAAACAGTAGTTCCGAATGGTCAAGCTGGAACGCGTGGAGGTACACCTGCGTTTGCTCTTAAGTTGCCCATTTGAAGAGTATTGTTTAGAAGCTGCTGAATCTGATGTTTCATCAGCACCAACATCCATATGTCCAGCAGTCGAGTCTGGGTCAACAACAGCATCATCTATGTCATCAGCAAGAGGCTGCAAACATTTTGATGTACCAGCTTCATCTGGAATACTTGTGTTGTCACTGGGTAACTCTTGTATTATTCGACTTGAATGCATTTTTGACTGTTGAGGCACCAAGGGTATACTTGAATCAGAATCGGAATCCCCGGACTCAGAGTCCGGCACATACTCGCTTCCAGAGCTCATAGAATCAATGAGGTCTGATGAGTCTTGACCCATCATCCGTCTGTAGCAGGTTAGATGCCAGAGTCCTGGACAATCTGAAACAGATTTAGATCAGTTTGGTCTCAACTCCAAGTCTGTTTAAGAATGATTTTACACATTTGGGTCCACCCGGGCACAGCCGCCAAAGTGAACAGTACACAACATTTAATTTTTCGGTTTCACATATGCTTTTTTTGTCACCGCGCCAAGCAGCCACACTACAGAGTGGAGCGTCGCGTATCCATGGTAACACAGGTGGTCTGAGGTTAAGTGTGACCTGTGGCCATTTGCATCATGTGTCTTTTGGGGTTCAGACCCAATCTACTCAGTCAAGACAAGGACTTTCCATAGGCTGTGCACTCAATATATACATTTTACCTTTGCATTTGAACCCCATCCATCTCAAAGAGGCGAAAGGTCCCAGGCAGTGAATGCATTTGTCAAAAGCAGACATATCGCCACACACCAAACGGTGTTTAGGACACTGACAGGAGAAAATAAAACACTTGAGAAATTAAAGTGACAACAAATATGAACAACCAAGCAATTAATTCAACACTCAGACTTACCTGCTCAACATCACCAGCATCTTTGGGGAGTATTTCCGAGGCAGGTTGCTGTGAGGAGACAAGAAGTAAACATCAGAGGAAGCGTGACTTTCAAACCAATACATACATTGGGCTACTGTGTCAGTACAAACCACCATGTATGCAGGTGATATCACACACACACTGATTGATGTTAGAATGAACTATGAGACTCACTGAACACCTTCAGGAAATGTGTCTGTTCAAACCACCATGTATGCAGGTGATATCACACACACACACACGGATTGACGTTAGCAAACTATCATAAACAATCTCAATACTACAAACTCACCTCTACAGAACTGCACTGGGGCTCAAATTCCAGACTCTGCTCACTCTGGCTCACAGATATGGAAGAGTGCCCTCTCTCCAAGCACTAAAATACAGGACAGTTGGGAGAGAAACCAATGTATACCAGAACAATCAGTAGAAAATGCACTGAACTAGTAAAACTAAGAATGAAATCTGAGACTCACTGAACAGTTTTAATTCCCAGTGTAGCCCTTGTAGGGTGTTTGGGTCACTGCGACCATTTTTAATCAACACTGAAGACTAGTGCCACAGACCCAAAAACCCTACAAGGTTTAAGATGACCAAGAAATTCATTCGACACTCAGACTTACCTGCTCAGTATCACCAGCATCTCTGGGGAGTATTTCCGAGGCAGGTTGCTGTGAGGAGACAGGAAGTATAAACATCAGAGGAAGCGTGACTTTCAGACCAATACATACATTGGGCTACTGTGTCAGTACAAACCACCATGTACGCAGGTGATATCACACACCGAATGAAACTCAAAAAGACTGAAAGCTTCCACCTGATGTGTCCACATAAACACCTTCAGGTAATGCGTCAGTACAAGCCACCATGTACGCAGGTGATATCACGCACACACATACACGGATGATTTTAGAATGAACTATGAGACTCACTGATCACCTTCAGGAAATGTGTCAGTACAAACCACCTTGTATGCAGGTGATATCACACACACATGGATTGACCTTAGCAAACTATCATAAACAATCTCAATACTACAAACTCACCTCTACAGAACTGCACTGGGGCTCAAATTCCAGACTCTGCTCACTCTGGCTCACAGATATGGAAGAGTGCCCTCTCTCCAAGCACTAAAATACAGGACAGTTGGGAGAGAAACCAATGTAGACAAGAACAATCAGGAGAAAATGCACTGAACTAGTAGAACTAAGAATGAAATCTGAGACTCACTGAACAGTTTTAATTCCCAGTGTAGCCCTTGTAGGGTGTTTGGGTCACTGGGACCATTTTTAATCAACACTGAAGACTAGTGCCACAGACCCAAAAGCCCCACAAGGTTTAAGATGACCAAGCAATTCATTCGACACTCAGACTTACCTGCTCAGCATCACCAGCATCTTTGGGGAGTATTTCCGAGGCAGGTTGCTGTGAGGAGACAGGAAGTAAACATCAGAGGAAGCGTGACTTTCAGACCAATACATACATTGGGCTACTGTGTCAGTACAAACCACCATGTACGCAGGTGATATCACACACACACACACACACTCCGAATGAGACTCAAAAAGACTGAAAGCTTCCACCTGATGTGGCCACATAAACACCTTCAGGTAATGCGTCAGTACAAGCCACCATGTACGCAGGTTATATTACGCACACACATACACGGATTGATGTTAGAATGAATTATGAGACTCACTGAACACCTTCAGGAAATGTGTCTGTTCAAACCACCATGTATGCAGGTGATATCACACACACACACGGATTGACGTTAGCAAACTATCATAAACAATCTCAATACTACAAACTCACCTCTACAGAACTGCACTGGGGCTCAAATTCCAGACTCTGCTCACTCTGGCTCACAGATATGGAAGAGTGCCCTCTCCCCAAGCACTAAAATACAAGACAGTTGGGAAAAAAAAAAAAAAATGTATACCAGAACAATCAGGAGAAAATGCACTGAACTAGTAGAACTAAGAATGAAATCTGAGACTCACTGAACAGTTTTCATTCCCAGTGTAGCCCTTGTAGGGTGTTTGGGTCACTGGGACCATTTTTAATCAACACTGAAGACTAGTGCCACAGACCCAAAAGCCCTACAAGGTTTAAGATGACCAAGCAATTCATTCGACACTCAGACTTACCTGCTCAGTATCACCAGCATCTCTGGGGAGTATTTCCGAGGCAGGTTGCTGTGAGGAGACAGGAAGTAAACAGAGGAAGCGTGACTTTCAGACCAATACATACATTGGGCTACTGTGTCAGTACAAACCACCATGTATGCAGGTGATATCACACACACACTGATTGATGTTAGAATGAACTATGAGACCCACTGATCACCTTCAGGAAATGTGTCTGTACAAACCACAATGTATGCAGGTGATATCACACACACACACACAGATTGAAGTTAGAATGAACTATGAGACTCACTGATCACCTTCAGGAAATGTGTCAGTACAAACCACCATGTACGCAGGTGATATCACACACACATGGATTGACGTTAGCAAACTATCAAACAATCTCAATACTACAAACTCACCTCTACAGAACTGCACTGGGGCTCAAATTCCAGACTCTGCTCACTCTGGCTCACAGATATGGAAGAGTGCCCTCTCTCCAAGCACTAAAATACAGGACAGTTGGGAGAGAAACCAATGTAGACCAGAACAATCAGGAGAAAATGCACTGAACTAGTAGAACTAAGAATGAAATCTAAGACTCACTGAACAGTTTTAATTCCCAGTGTAGCCCTTGTAGGGTGTTTGGGTCACTGGGACCATTTTTAATCAACACTGAAGACTAGTGCCACAGACCCAAAAGCCCTACAAGGTTTAAGATGACCAAGCAATTCATTCGACACTCAGACTTACCTGCGCAGCATCACCAGCATCTCTAGGGAGTATTTCCGAGGCAGGTTGCTGTGAGGAGACAGGAAGTATAAACATCAGAGGAAGCGTGACTTTCAGACCAATACATACATTGGGCTACTGTGTCAGTACAAACCACCATGTACGCAGGTGATATCACACACACAAACACACACACCGAATGAGACTCAAAAAGACTGAAAGCTTCCACCTGATGTGTCCACATAAACACCTTCAGGTAATGCGTCAGTACAAGCCACCATGTACGCAGGTGATATCACTCACACACACACGGATTGAAGTTAGCAAACTTCATCATAAACAATCGCAACACTACCGACTCATCTCTACAGAACTGCAATGGGGCTCAAATTCCGTACTCTGCTCACTCTGGCTCACAGATATGGAAGAGTGCCCACTCTCCAAGCACTAAAATACAGGACAGTTGGGAGAGAAACCAATGTAGACCAGAACAATCAGGAGAAAATGGGGGTTTGATCACAACAGCACTGAACTAGTAGAAATAAGAATGAAACATGACTCACTGAACACATTCTGGTAATGTGTTCAGCGCATACCACCATGTACGTGAGTGATATCACACACACACCAAGTTAGCCAAGTTCACAGCCATGTCATGCTTTTAACAGGCAACAGTGTGAGATGAAAATTGAATGACATAATGTTAACTCTTAAAATCCAAATATAGAACCTTCATTTACCTTCTGTGTCAGTACCTCCACGTGTGCTGTAGACAGACATTCCTTAGTGGCGAGTTTGGATGTGGAGGGTGTGTAATCCCGGTGGTCATTTGGAGACTTCATACCAGATTCCTAAAAGTTAAATTAACATACAAATGAATGTAAAAGTCCATCAATATATTTTCACCTTGACCCCATCAATAATCATTAGAGCCAGCATGGGTACCCACCTCGCCTCTCCATGGCCAGTCTGAGTCACCATAATTATATGTGATCTCGTCTCCTGGGTTAATGTGACGGATTGCAAACAAACACAAGTGGGGCTTTCCTTGTATGCTTAAATACTTAATTTTGGCATTTGGGTTGATATGGTCATCGTTAACCAGTCTGCCAAGCGAACAATCTTCTTTTGCTGCATCAACACTTCATAAAGAATACCAAAAATTATTACATGCCTGGCAATGCATATTTTTCTGACTTGGGAGCCCATTTAGGTTTGAATCATCAAAAAGGGCAACGTGTCTCAGCACTGCAATCAAAGCATCAGCTTTAATACGCACCACCAAAGTTTTCCATCAAAGCGAAACTCAAACAAAAAATTTTTCAGGGCATCATGGTAAACCCGCACTCTTCGCTCACACTCCTGTTTGCTGATAAGTTCACCACGATATTCCAAAAGGAAGTCTCCTTTCTCAAATGGCGCACAAGCGAAGACACCCCTCCCTGGTCAAGACATAAAAAAAGTGATGAATAGTCAGGCAAAATGCTCAATTTTCAGATAACAGTCATTGTGAGATGTAGCTTACCCTTGAAATCACTGATGAATTTGACATCAAGTCCTGCTTTGTCTTTTCCAGTGTCAATGTGAAACCTTGCATCTTGCTTTGAATTTAAATTCCTCCGTCTCTGCATCCTTTTAGCGTTTAAAAGCCTAGATACCCAGAGATAAGAGTCAAATTTATCATGGATATATCGTGGATTGCAAAACAACAAGTAGTTGCATTCAAAAACATGATTTAACATTTTGTAGTGATTCTTATTCTATTCTGCAAAATGAATCATAAAGGGCCATCAATTATACAGCTGCTCAACAAAAAGTAACCCTCTTATTCACATTTATTTTGTTAAGCCCAGTTGTCAGTACCAGAAAGTCAAGGCTTCTGATCTCTCTCCACAGATTTTAAACATGGACAAGCATGTTTACTATTCTCTGGATCTGACATTTGATATAATATCTATAGCTATAATATCCCTAACATACATCACATTTATCATATATCAGAATATCCTATTACTGTTCAGCCCACAATGAATATAAATACAGGTCAACCCATGTGTCCTCTATCACTTGTATGAAGTTTACAGCAAAAAAGCGCATGAAAATTAAAAGTAAATTAAGTATTCAGTGAGTTATCAGCACTAACACTTCACTGCGCCTGACAACTCCAAGATGGCGGCCCCGCGGGCGCCTGACAACTCCAAGATGGCGGCCCCGCGGCTCGGCAGTAGCAGTTGATGCGGGGTCTATACTCTTGTATATGTCTTTAGTCAACAAGCGTTGCTAATAAATAATTAAAAATAAAATAAAGCAATGGCACACCTCCTTGAACACATACAGCTGTTATATGAAGTCTCTGTAATGTCTCGGGAGACAGAGAGTCTGCCGAGATGCGTTTGTGGACACAAAAAGCCACTAGCTTCATAGCGTTAGCATCATAGCGATGCTAACGGGGCTAAGCTAGCGGCGCTAGCCACTTCTGCTGTGTTTTGGGGCATCGATGGGCAAGACTTTTGATTTACTAAACTCACAGCGCTGAAATTTAGCGAATGCTTGTCCAGTGCGAGCGGATGCAGTCTATAGTGTAGATGTACCATTACATTACCACTACCATTACCATGTACATTACAAGAACGTGCCCAACCATGTCAGCTACCACTAAATACAAACCACATTGGGGGCTAGACTTTACATTTTCATGCAAAATAGAGTAAACACAAAGTAAAACATGTTAGGATAATGCTCACCTGTCGATTTAGCACCAAGTTGTAGATCCCGCATCTTCCCGCCACGACTTCGCGGGGAAATTGTTAAGCCTAGCCTCTTCCGGTTGTGTGTATTTTTGTGTGTGTGTGTGGGATGACGTTACGTCATCTGACCACTAGGAGCGCATACACACACACAAAAAGTCAGGTGAGGGGAATATACTGACAGTCTAAAAACTCAGGTAAATAGTATGTTTAGAAAATAAATAATGCATGTATATTATGCCAGAGGTATAGTAAAGTCATATTTTTTTCATATCAGGTAAAAAAAATGAGTTTCAGACTGGAAAAACTAAAAAAGCAACTCTTGAATTAGACTGACACAGGCCGTGTCAGTCTAATACAAAAAGTCCACTTAGCCCAGGTGAGATTTCAGGGTATTTGTCAGTGTATACCACTTAGACCAACACACACACACACACACACACACACACACACACACACACACACACACACACACACACACACACACACACACACACACACACACACACACACACACACACACACACAGACAGATCTCACAACACTGGATATGTTGGAGTTCTTTTCTCTCTCCCCTTTTTCCAATTGCTTTCAATAAGTTTTGCCTCATCCATCGCGACGTCCTCAATGCTTCAATATGCTGTGCTTTGCATTGATCATAGCCACAGCTCATGCACATCACACACCGCTTCTTCTATTTAAAACTATAGCGGCTGCCTGTTGCCTAAAGCCGCGGAGAGGCGAGTTGGGTCCGATAAAAGTGTATGACGCGCTAAATAAGTAGAAAACAAACGAAGAGGTGGATCATAATAAACGCTGCAGTCACAGACCCAAACACAGATGCACGCACACGCCTCCCACCACACACAGACACACACGGGCGCTCTCACGCACACGCCCACGCTCACGCACACATGCACGCCGACAACACATGACTCCTCCATCAGCCAAACATTCATTCATTCACACAATGCCCAAACGTGTCTCCTACAAAAACAAAGCAGGCTGATAAACGCACAGCCAGAGTTGCGCGCTGCTGCAGCCGGTTTGACCACTTGTCCGTTTTACGGACGTCTGACGGACAGCAGCCAACGCGCGTCAACGGAGACGCGCCCGGTGGAGTCCAGGCCTTAGAAATCTAAAAACTTTAGACAGTTTTTGTCAACAACACAATGACCATATAGAGTTTGAATATTGTGATCTTCCAATGATGTATGCCTTTGTTAGGGCATTAATACACTGAATATTTTAGGCGAGGCTAAAAAAACAGGTTTTTTTCCCAAACTTGAAAGGATGCAGAGTGAAATAGGAATGACACACATTATTTTAGTATATATTTACACAAACTAGAAGACTCTAGCTTTACAATGATGCATCACACAAGCATGTGACATGTAAGATGTGTTTTTAAATAAGCAAAGACATTTGGGTGTGCCCAACTTTTGAAGCCTGGCTCTGCCAGACCCTTGTAGTTCCGCCATGCTCCACCAGAGGCGTTTGGCTGAACCACATGGATCTGGTATCAGCGCCATAGCGAACGCCTTCCCCAGATTACTTTTTAATCGACCAATCAGGATTGCCGGTGTTGTGTGGTGTTTGCACTGCCTTCTCAAGCTTCTCTCATGCAGCAGCGAGAGGAATCCAAGATGGCGGACGTAAAGTCCGCGAATCTTTTTAAAAGAGTAATACGATCGAATTAAGACACGGATGTCACTTTTAAAGCAATTTGAGGCGAGATGTTGATGGTTCTATGTTGATATATGTGTGTTTTAAGAGTCAAATGTTCCTGTAAAGTTTGGTTGAAGCACTGGTTCAGTGTTCCTGTTCACACACTATGCAGCAGGGTTGCCAGGTTTGGTGGTTCCCGCATATTTTTTCCAAGAGACTTGTTGGTGTTAAATAAACAGAAAGACAATAAACAGAATCATGATAGCCCAAGTTGATTACATTACGTTTTTAGACAAAAAATCATTCGGAGTGTTTTTTTTTTTTTTTTTGGGTATTCTCGCGGATTTTGGGTTGGAAAATCTTGCTGGGATTTGGCAACCTATGGGAGCCGTGTGCTTCGATGTGAGTGGTTGAAAGCAGACTTCATTCAAGATAACGGACAAGTGGTCTATCCAATCACATACAAGGATTTTTTTTACAAGGCCCTGCCTTCTGAAATCCTACCACTATGGCTCAGTACCAGACTCATGTGTGAAGTGCAGCGAACTACATGGGTCTGGCGAGAGTCAGGCTACAACTTTTGTGCACGAGCAAAAATGATGCAGGAGCTTAAGGCTGAGACTCCACCGTGCGCGTCTCCGTTTACGCGCGTTGGCTGCTGCCAGTCAGATGTCCGTAAAACGGAATAGTGGCCAAACTGGCTGCAGCAGCGTGCAGCTCCGGCCGTGCGTTTATCAGCCCCCGTGAGGCTTTCTTTTAAAAAGAAGAAGCGGGGTGTGATGTGTATGAGCCAGTGGGGGGTGGATCCCGGCTCAAAAGTGGCCAAATTGACGGGCGCCGACATGCTTGCAGTACCACCCCGGGCCGATGAGGGTGGACCCAGAAAAATAATTAACCAATGCTAACAAATAGCATTGGCAGACCTCTTGAAAACCTCTTTACAGGATGGACCAAAAGTTGGCTCTTGGCCCAAAGCTCCGTTCCACATGTGTGTCAATGCTGAGGGGGGTGAATTTTTTTGGTCCACCCTAGTTTACTTGCTGTGAATTTTTGAAGTATCTCGTTCAAATGAATGGAGCTGCGCCGGCTGACGCATGCACAGATGCGCTTTTTCAAATTTTTTTCACTGTTAGCGCACTTTTAGCTTTGTTTTTCACCCGAACACATGGTATCCACATGTTCCCTAGCTCGTTAGCTTCAAAATGAGACCTTCCATGAAGAGCTTTTTTACGTCTGCAACAAGCCCATGAGTACAGCTAGCAGCTGCTTTTTGCACATGGGTGACTGAGCTTTGTTGTCTTCCAGACGGCTTGGAATCTGCTTCCTGGCCGAATGATTGACATGTCCGTGTAGCCAATAAGGAAAGCTTTCTAGCAAGGGGTGGGACAAAGGTGTACTGTCTTAATTTGTGTCAGTACAAGTGTGCG